GGAGGAGGAGGAGGAGGAGGAGGAGGACAGGAGGAGCAGAAGGACGAAGAGGACAGAGGCAACAGGATGCGGAGGGCCAGTGCAAACCGAAGGCCCACCGCCTCCCTCCAAGTTCCCTCTTCACAGGCCCCAGGCCAGGAGGAGGAGGAGGTGCAGGAGGAGGAGAGGAAAGAGGAAACATGATGAGGAGGACCAGTGCAGACCCAAGGCCCATCAACGATATTGCAGTAAACCCTCCCTCCAAGTTCCCTCGTCACAGGCCCCGGACCCGGAGTCGTTCTCACTGAGGGAAGACACACGTTTGAAAATCCTGCACTGCGCCAGAACAACATTCCTGGGACTGGAATGCGGCGAATCACCGTTACTGTTGCGTCTTGACGATCCTGAACCGTGCCAGAACACCATGACTGAGACTTCAACACCGCGAATCAATGTAAGTATTGCGCCCTGACAGTCCAACATCGTGCGGCGCTCAAGCGAGAACCACATGTTGCAAACGCCCCGCCCTCCATCCGTGAGACTCTGACACCTTCTTGAATTGTTTCTTTTATGTTTGGTTGACTCGGTTTGCTTCCTCATTCATGATTGTTTTTGGTCTTATCTGATACTATGCATTATGTAGTGTTGTGTATTATTCTCCCGCACGCAGCGCAAGCGATCAGGTCCCGGAGGCGGGCGCGCGGCGCGCGCGCGGCGACCCGTAAAGGATGACGGGGCGCCGCGCCCAAGCCGTGCGGCGCCCTCAGACGACCTCGTCCAACGAGGCCATCTGGACGGCCAGGTGGCCGTAGCAGCGCTGCAGGCCTGCCTGAGTAAGGCGGGGAGGGGGGGAGGGGGCCGAGAAGCTGCAGGACCTGAACGGGCGCGAGCGGCAAGGAGAATAGAGAAGCGCATTCTCCCGCACGCAGCGCAAGCGATCAGGTCCCGGAGGCGGGCGCGCGGCGCGCGCGCGGCGACCCGTAAAGGATGACGGGGCGCCGCGCCCAAGCCGTGCGGCGCCCTCAGACGACCTCGTCCAACGAGGCCATCTGGACGGCCAGGTGGCCGTAGCAGCCATACCCAGGCTCAAAGCCCTTGCGAAGTGACAAGGTTTTGGCGGGCGGCCGCGAGCAGAAGGGGCCACGCAGTGGGGCCACAGTTCAGAAAGGAAGCGACAAGGAAGTCGCTCGCGCCATCGAAGTAGGTGACACGGGCCCGAGCGGCATCAGGCAAGGCGGAAAGCATCGCGGCGGAAGCATCGTCGTGCAAGAAGCGCTCCGCGCTAGACGCCTGGCGCCAGCGACTACGCCAGAAGATACGACCAATATCTTCTGTGGCCGTATGAAAGTCTGTCGCGCCTGAGCCGCGGGGGCAAGCAGGGGTCAAGTGGAACCCCGCTGGCGTCTCGGCGAGCGGTACGCCTAACGCCAAAAGTAAATGGTTCCACCGAGTACGGAAGCCGCTTTGACCAAAGGTCGACAGAGGATCGGTGGGACCCAAATGCCGAAAGACCATCTCCAAAACCCGAACCACCGCTTTGTCAGAGCACCAGGCGTGCTGTGGCGGGTAAGACATGCTGCTCACTGGATCGGGAATGGTCATCCAAGCGTTGCCTGAGGACTCAAGGCAATCCGAAGGCAACAAAAGGTCACAGCGACGGGCTGACAGCAGCTCGTCGGGCTTCAAGGACATCGTGAACCCTGCCAGCAGCAAGGCGGCCATGACTGGCCAGTCCCAAGTGAAACAAACTGCCACCATAGCGCGCAAGAGCGCTCGTGGCATTGGCGGCCGAAGGCGAGGTGGCTGAGACCGCTTCCAGGCCCTCGCCACTCCCCACGCCTCGGTGAGAAAGGGCTTCCAATGAGGGAGACGTGCCTGGACGCCTATGATCGCGTGCACCAGGATGTTGAGCGGGAAACCTGCGTCGTGCAGCCACACGCCGAACGTTGCGAGGAACCTCGACAGCAGGATCCCACTACGATACAGCGGAAGTGGCGCCACCCCTGCGTCCTCGGCGCACCACAATTCGAACGCGTAGAGAGCTCTTTTGCGCCGATCGCCGGCCGAAGTCAGAACAGCGCCTGACCAGGGAGCGCTGGGAGGCTCCGTCTCTGCCGCCCTGCGGCGGCGGCGGCGCGCGGGGTGGGGGACTCGCCGAGGCCAGGCAAGGGTGGCACTCTCGTCGCGATGCCGCGCCGGCTCAGCCTCGCTGTGCAAGCCCGTACCAACCCTGGCCTCCGCCTCGGCGGCGCTGTCCACCTCCGCGAGGGCAGTTGGCGCTGCCACAGGCGAGGGCGAGTACGCCGCCGCCTCAGGGAATCCAGCGGAGGCGGCCTCTCTGACGCAATCAGCAAGACGAGAGCGGGCGATGCGCATCGCATCCTTGCGCCGCTCGAGCTCGGCTAAGAGCGTCTGCATTCGCTTCGCCAGCTCTCCCGCGCTCTCGCCAGTCTCTTCGCCTGTTCCCAGCATAACCTCGGTGAGAGCGGCCTCGGCAGCGGCGACCGAGGATAGGAATCGCGCGCGAGCGCGCCGGTCGGCACGCGCGCGCCGCGCAACCGCGGCCGCTGGGCCAGCGACTCGGCTGGTGCGCATCGCAACCGAGGTAGCGCACGCCCCGTCTTGGGGCAGGCCTCGAGCCGCGCGCGCAGAGGGCTCCAAGGAGTCGAGAAGGTGTGGCGCAGCCGCCAACGCGTCTGAGCCCTTCTCGTGCGCGGCTCCGCTAGGTTGGGGGAGATCCGCGCTATCAACGGGCGAGTCCACCGACAGAAGTGCGGCGCGAGGCGCGGCCGCGGGGCCAAGAGACCTCGGACTGGCCCCGGCACGGGGTGCGGCCTCAAGCATGGCGAAGGAGGCGGCGGCGGGCCCCGAGGCCGCGGGCATGCGCGCAAGCGCGTTCGGCCGCAATCGATCCGCAGGAACCCGCATGGGTGCACCGTCGACGCGTAATGCTGGTGGAAACTGGCGGCGCGAGCAGGAGGGCCCATGCTGATCCTGGCGCCCCGCGCCGAGAATGCGCCAACCGGCAAGCTCCCGGAGCTCGCCGAGCCGGTGACCGTGGGCGGGTCGCGAGCTCCGGAAGCGAGGTCGCAAGCGGGGTCGCTGCCGGAGCCGCGCGGCGGCGGAGCGGCCGCGAAGCGGGCGGCTGGGCCAGCCGAGCGGGTGCTCGCGCGAGCGCCCCGCGGCGGCGGTGCGCGGCGAGAGCCCCGCGGCGACGCCACTGGCGGCGCGTCCTGCGAGTCCGACTGGCGTCGCGGGGCGCGGTCGGAAAAAGTATGCGGAACGCGGGCGCCGTCCCCCGGCGCAAGCGGCGCGTCGCGCCACTTCGAGGTGCTGCCGAGCCGGGCGCTGCTGGAGGGGGCACCGGGCGCGCCTGCTCCAAGGCCCGGGCTCCAGGAGCGCGAAGGCAAAGGCTCACGCCCCTCGTCCGCCGACGCGGCGGCGCGATGGCGCGCGCAAGGCTGGCCCCACAGCGCGAAATTGGCAGCGCGCCTGGCCCTACGACCCGGGGGCGGCGCGGCCGCGCCAGGCGCCGAGAGCAGCGCCGCGGGCGCACGAGCAGCGCGCGCACGACGGGGGCGCTCAGCGCGAACCGTTTCCGCTGGACGAGCTGGCCGATGGCGCCTTCCGCGCGAAGAGCAGGGCGCCGAGGGAGTCCCAGAGGCGGAGGCCCCGAAATCCGGCCGTGCTCCGCCCAGCTCGGGCTGCAAGCACTGGCAGGCGCCGGCGGCGCGCCCGTCTGGCCACGGCCGCGCTCTTGCATATAGGCGCGGGCCCGCACGAACGCCTCCGCGGCAAGTCCCGTGCTCCCGTTCCTGGCAAGGTAGGGTTCCCGCTCCCGGCTGGCAACGAGAAGCCTCGCCAAGCAGGAGCGACTTCGCGTCGCAGAACCTGGACCAGAGGGGAGAGGCGTCCGCGCGGTCCGATGCGGACAATGGGCGATGGCGCGCCCTGTCCGGGCGGTGCGGCGTGGCCAACCGCCGGAACTGGCGTTCCATGGCCGACCGGTCGGCACCCGGTTTGAGCTGAAGGAGCTCGCGCGCCGTCCGCACCTTTGCAACCTTGGCGGGTCGCTTGGGATCGGTCCGGGCGGCGAGCCTCGGCCTGGCCGCCGAAAGCTGGGCGGGCGCGCCGGGCGGGCCAGCGGCAACGGGGGCCGCACCCGGCCTGAAGGGCGCTTCGAAAGGCGACGCGCCCTGGGAGGCTTCATGGGGAAGCGCGGAGAGCTCAGCGGCACCTTCGGCGCTCCTTCCCCCGAGGCATCCGCCGCCCACCGCGGGAGAGGCGTTCCGCCTAGGAATCTCTGGAGCCTCGGCTTGCGCTGGGTCGGGCTGCGGAAGCGTGCCGGGAGCTTCGAGAAAAACCGGCGCCTCGACCCCAGTTGCGGCGGCCGCGCTTGCAAACCATGCGTCGGCCGCGGGGGCGGGCGAGAGAGGGGGACGTTGCCCCGGGCGCGCAAGGAGCCCCTGTGCTAGGACTAGCGCGGCGAGCCGTCCCCATAGGCAAGTGGGGTAGGGAGAATGCGCGTCAGCAAGTGCGACCCAATCGAACCTACCGAAATCGCCCGCCTCAGCGTCGACCAGCCACGCAGGAGCCTCCCTGGAGGAGGGGCGCACAGGCCGATTCCTGGTGGGGTCATCCGCCCTGTGGACGTCGGTGGGCACATAGAGGCCACCCATGTATAAGCCACCGCTCAAGATGTAAGGCAAAGCCGTGCTGAGGACATGGGAAAGCCCTGGAGAGCTGCTGCGACCGTGGGCGGCCGCGCCCAAGGCGACCTTAGAATCGAGCAGCACAGGGATCCGAGAGTCCGGCATGCGAACGCAGCAGTACTTGCACAGACTCTTGAAAACAGTGGCCTCCAGGATGTTGATGTGACGCGGCATTCGAAATTCCCATTTATAGGCCAGGCGGAAGTGCAGCGCTTCCGACAGTTCGCTTATCCAGTGCGGCGCGACTGGGGGCTCAATGGAAGGGAGCCCCAAATCGCGATGCAGCTGGGTGAGCTCGGGGCCTAATGGGACTCCCCGGTCCAGCACGGCAAGCAAACTTCGGTTGTGGAGGACCGTGTGCCACCCTCCGTGCTCAGACCGGCGCCACAACTCTTGGGAGAGATGTGGACTGATCGAGGAGCGGACCACTCCCCCCCAGCCGAGGGAGGCGTCCGTGCCGAACACTTCGGGGGAGTAGCCCGCGCGAAGGTCGGTAATGGCGACAAAGGCCAGGTAAGTGCAGGCTAGCAGCTCGTCGCGAACGGAGACGGGGAGCTCGTATTCGAACCCATCTTCCGTCGACAACGACGACAGGAAGTTGTAGACGTGCGTGAAAATCGACAGCATGGGCCTGCGAAAGAGAAACACTTGCACCCAACATCCGACGAGCGACGCTAGCACCGCGCGGGTCGAATGACCGAGGTACACTTGGATGAGGGTTAGCCGGCACAGGGCCACGGTGCGCACAAGAGGCGCGCACACGATGCCTATCCGACCCTCCACCTCGGCACCGACCACGACCTTATGAGTCGCGCCACGGGTCCGCTTACCAGGGTGCTGGACCAGCCCCACGCGAGGGTAGCCGCGGTCGCACGCAGCAAACACCTCCTTATCACGACGATTTGGGTCGTCGGGGCGGGGAGCTAGGCCATTCCAGGACAGCTTCTGGAAGCCCGTGTGATCGTCGATGTTCAACATCTCGACGAAATGGCCACGCGGAAACGGAGTCCTGTGCACAGCTTGCTCATGGGGGCGAAGAGCCCCGAAGCTGCGAAGGACACCCTCGTGCGCAGAGTTTGCGATTTCCACGGCCATGTTGTCGCCCATAGCCAGCGCGTTCAAGCACGGGGAAACATCCACGCCCTCGAGGTCAGGGCGCCACGCATTGAATGCCTTGAACCGCGCACTGGGCAGCCGCACGCGGAGGGCATTGCGCTTCGCTCGAGCTGGTGGCACCTTAAAGGTGTAATAGAACTCGCGTAAGTCATCGCATGACACCACCAACCACTCGCCTGCAGCGAGACCCATGCGGCAGAGCAGGAAACCCTGCCCAAGGCGCTGAGTGCTGGAAGAAATGCTCTGACAGCGACTGTTCACCACCGTGGGATTAAGAATCAGCCGATCGTACTCGCTGTCCTTGGGGACCCTGAACGCTCCGCAAGCCTCATCCCAAGCCAGGTCTGAGGTGGGAGTCAAGTACAGGGCGCCGCAGGAGTCCCACTTCCGAAGAAGCTCCCACAGCTGATCACGGTCCATGTGGACGCGGGCCCCCGGGAGGCCCGATGGCCACTCGGCCGACGGAAGACGCATGGTTTCGGGGTCGTGAAAAGCTTTGCGGACCCGCGCGTCGGCGAGGAAGGGAGTGGGATCAAACGTCGGAGAATAATCCCACTTGATGCGGGACGCCCTGACTCGGAGGTCGAAGGGCTCAGACTGGGTGGAGTCCCAGCCTGCCGCTGAAGCCAACGATCCAGGCACAGGAGGCGCGCTGGACGGGCATTGCCGCATGGGGGCGGGCACCTGGGAAGAGGAGGTGAAGGAAGCCTCGATAGCTGCAACATGGGTGGCCAGGCCATGGAGCGAGACTTCAGTGGCGTCGAACTTGGAGAAAGCCCGACCTAAGTCGCTCTTGCCGCCGCGGGCAAGGCGAACTGCGATCCGACACAACCGCTCGAGGCGGTCGCGAGTACCCTCCTGGCAGGGCGTGGCCGCTGTGCACACATGGGCCTCGATGGGAGCGAGGCTGGGATGGCCCAAGGTGAGCCAGTTTAGCGCAACAACGGCGTGCTGTGCTAAGGTGCGCGCTGCGCGCCTCAAGCGCCACCGCTCGCGCGCGCGACCCGTCAAGGTTACAGGAGGCGGCGGCAGAGAAGGCGCTGGAGGGCACGGCCAAGGATCGCGGGGAGGCGGCTCCAACACGTACGAGCCGTCCCGGGCCGACGCGCTGAGGGAGGTGCGGGTGAAAGACGACAGAGAACAACGAGCACCCATCCCAACCTGAGCTAAAGCAGCAGCCCAATGGGTGATATCGATGTTCGCGCCAGGAAACAGGCGCAGCAAGGCAGAAAGGTCAGCGACAAAGGGCGCGACCTTGGGAAAGGAAGGCGTGGTGCCGGTAGGTGCAGACGGCCTCGAATCCCCCGCGGACAAGTCAACGCGAGAGGCTTCGGAACTGGCAGCGGCCCCTGAGGACAGGTCAACTCGAGGGGCCGGTGGCACGGTAGTGACCCCGGAGGACAAGTCGACTCGAGGGGGGTTCCCACTGGCAACAGAACCGATGGAAGCGACGGGCGGTGCGCCTGAGTCCCCGTCGGAAGGGGCTTCGGCAGCACGGTGAAAATTGCCAAAATGGCCACTCGGCCCTGAAGGGGAGCCAGGGGTAGAGCGAGAGTCGCGACAGCGGCACGAACTCCTCCCTGCGGGGCCGCAACAGCATCGCTGGAGGAGCGCGCGCCTACTCTCACGGCCTCGCTCAGCCCAGGCACGCCTGGCAGCAGCAGCGTCGTCGCTTACAGCGACTCGCCGCTGCGTGAACCCTCGGCCGGTGCACGCAGCTCGCGTGCGTCCACCCCTGTGGTGGGATGCGCCGCCGTGGAGGGCGGCTCCGCCGGCGGCCTGGGAGCCGGCGGAACGGGCGCGGCAAGGGCCTGCCGCCACCCGCACCAGGTCACGCGACACGGGGGGGGCTTGATCCCCGTGAGGAACCATGCGGTTCCGAGGTAGCCGCGGCCCCCCACCAGCTGGACGATGAACATGCACCGCTGCAGCGCCTCCCGCTGGCAGATGAAAGCCAGATCGAGAGCCCTCTGGGGCGCCTCGGCAGGCAGCCCCAGTGCGTCCCCTGCGACCCCCTCGGCGGAGCCGGCGACCGCAGCGGGGTCGGCCCGCCCAAGTGGCGGGGGGACGCGCGCGGGAGGGGCAGGCGGGAGCGCCTGCGGAGGGGCGTTCGACCGAGCCTTCCCCCACGCTGAGACGAGCGCCGAAGCTGGGGTCCCAGCGCGCAGCTGGACGCGATGAGGTGGCGCAGGTGCCCTGGCCAACGTGGCCGCGATCCCGAATGGCTGAAAACCCAGACGAACCGCCACGTCGGCGAAGGGCTGGAGCGCCTCTAGCCTCGCGGAGGGCGCCCCCAGAGCGACGCGAGGCACACGGCCGTGACGGCGGCTCCAGCCCTGGTGGGGGCAGGAAGCCTGGAAGACACGGCGAAGTGGCCATAGGACAGCTTTGCGGCGGCGTGCCCAAATCGCGAGCTGCGGCGGGGGCTGAGGGATCGGTGCGACCCGTGCTCTGTGGCGCCGAAGCAGCGGCGCCCGGCAGGCAGGTACCAGCTACCCCGAAACCATCTGCAGCAGCAGCAGAAACATGTCGCGTAGCGCCTGACAACAAGGGGGCCGACACTGGCAGGGACGCGGGGTCCGTCGACGCCGAGGTTGGATTCCCGAGTAGCCCGAGCGAGTGCAAGATGGCGTGGGCGCTCGCACGGGAGGCACTGACCGCAAGCGGCTCCCTTGGAGGCAGGGGTGAGGCCCCTAGGCAGGGGATCGCCGACTGCCCACTTCCGCTGTCAGGAAAAGGAAACCCAACCGCGGCGTCGGTCGCGCAACGGTTGTGCGGCGGCGGCACCCGAGCGCCCGCCTCCAGGCTAGCGAGGCAGGGAGATGGCCCCACCTGCCAGACCGCAGGGCCCGACAGCGCCTCAAACCCAGGTGGCGGGTGGAAGGGCAACACTGTCGAAGCGCCCCCTGGCGTAATCGCTGGCGCTAGTGCCGGCGGAAGCGCAGGCGTCGGTGCTGCCGCCGTCTGTGCTGGCGTCAGGGCTGGCGTCGGCGCTGGCCTCGGTGCTGGCGTAGGCGCTGGCGCTGGTGCCGGCGTAAGCGCAAGCGTCGGTGCTGACGCCGCCAGGTGCTGGCGTTGATGCTGACGTCGGTGCGGCGCTGGCGCTGGTGCTGGTGTAAGCGCACGCGTCGGTGCTGCCGCTGTCCGTGCTGGCGCTCGTGCAGGCATCGGTGCCGGCCTCGGCGCAGGAGGAGGCGCTGGCGCTGGTGCCGGCGTAAGCGCAGGCGTTGGTGCTGCCGCCGGCAGTGCTGGTGTTCGTGCATCAAAGCCAGGCGGTGGGCCCATCCGCCAAGCACGCGGCTGTAACGGCGACTCCAACCCAGGGGGGGGCCGGAAGCTGGCGCGAGTCGGCGAGGCGGCTCTGGGACTGCTCCGCGGTGGCCCTGTGCGCTCGGCACGCGTCTGTGACGGCGGCTCCAACCCTGAAGGGAGCTGGAGTCCCGAAAGCGAGGGCAAAGCTGCCTTGGGACCGTCTCGCGGCGGGGTGCTAAGCTGGTTAACTGCGGTGGCGGCTGGGGGAGCGGTACGAACCCCTCCCTGCGGGGCCGCAACAGCATCGCTGGAGGAGCGCATACCCACCCCCTCCAAACCGCCAGAATCCACAGCGTCCGCCGCTACAGTAGGCGGGGGAGGCACCGCGCGCGACAGCTCGTGGGTGATTGCCAAACGAACAGAGCTCCCGCCCCGCCTGGTTTCGACAACCGACGGCTCCGACCCTGGAGGGGGCCGAAAACCCGCGGGAGCGGGCGAGGCGGCCAGAAAACTTGCTCGCGGCGGGCGGCCAGACTGGTGAGCCAGGCCGACGGTTGAGTGGGCGGCACGACCCCTCCCCTGCGGGGCCGTAGCAGCATCGCTGGAAGGGCGCATGCCAACCCCCTCAAATCCGCTGGGTCCCGATCCGCCCGAAGGGCCCTGGGCGCGCGCGCGCCTGTCGTTGCCCACGCGAGGGAAACGATGCCGCGAACGGCAGCTGAGCCATGGCGAAGCGGCGACTGGAGGGGGAGGAGTAGAGGGGGAGTGGAGAAAGAGAGGGTCCACCGACTCCGACTCCTCCGTCCTGGACGCCGTTATCTTCGCGCCGGTGGCCTCTCCGCCTGTTGCCAGGCGGGCGGTGTTCCGAGAGGCGGCGGCGACACTCGTGGCGCGAGCAATAGACCGTTCGGCGGCGGGCGGGCTCGACCCTTGAGTGGCGCCGGCAACGGGCGTAGCGCGAGCACTCTTCTTCCGGGCCGATGGCGCGGCCTCCTCGTGATGCGAGGGAACTCCACCTCCTACTCCTCTCCTCAGATGGGCGTCCGCTCCGGGGTCCAAGGGGAAGAGGCAAGAGGAAGGAGGGGAGTTTTGTAGCGGCGAAAGGGAGGCAGGCGCCATCGGATGCCGAGCCTGCGGGACGGGGCTCAGAAGCCAGCGTCACACGAGCAGCAGCTGCGGCAGGCGCGGGAGGAACCCGCGAGCAGGTCAGACGCCTGCCTGGACGGCCTGGCTGGGGCCACGGCCAGATGACACGGGCGCGCACTGCCAGGGGGGCAGCGGCGCCCGAGCGGAGAGTGTGCACACTCGCCGCTGCCGGGTGCCCACAGGAGGCAGCCGGCCCACCCCCACCCGAGCTCTGACTGGCGGGGTGAAAGAGCGACCCCGAACCAGCCAGATCACGGAGGAAGCGTTGGGACCCCTGCCTGCGGCAGTGGCCCAAAGCAGCTCGTAGCCCAGCAAGTAGAACACCGCCGCGTAGGTGAAGAGGAACCTGCGCGGCGGTGGCAACCGCAAGCCCCCTGGCGCCCTGGCCGCGCGCGCGCGGCGGGGGGAGCGGGGGGCGAGAAGAGCAAGCTTGGGGCCGAGAAGCTGCAGGACCTGAACGGGCGCGAGCGGCAAGGAGAATAGAGAAGCGCATTCCTTATGTAGAAGGCTGATTCTTAGTATTTCTTTCCTGTGTCTTAGTCCCGCCAGCCCTTTAGGGCGTAAGGTGGTCTAGAGCGTTTCCTCTTCCAACCCCCTTCTTCCCCTTCGTGGAGGGGTTGGCCCCTCCCCCCTACCCCCTCCCCTGGACCTGAACGGGGCTGGTCGCGAGCGATCAGGGCGTCTAAAACGGCCTCGGCGAAGAAGCCCAAAGCATTGGCTTTACTAAATTTTTGGCCACATGTTGGCCTCTTGGGAGGGCAACCGTAATAGGGGAACCCCCTTCTTTGATCGATGTCCTCCAAGATGGTCCCAAGAAGCGCCCAGGAGGCCCCAAGAGGCTCCAAGATGGCCCCAAGACGGCCCCAAGAGGCCCCCAAGAGGCCCCCAGGAGGCCCCCAGGAGGCCCCCACGAGGACCCCAAGCGGCCTCAAGAGGCACGCTCGAGGCACCCAAGACGCCCAAGAGCCCCCCAGGACCGCCAAGACACCCCCAAAACGTCCCGAGAGGCCATCAAGAAGCGCCCAAAAGATATCCCAAGAGGCTCCGAGAGGCAAGAGAACTCAGGCCCTTTTTCTTGCCCTCCTCCGCCTGCTCCTCCTGCTCCTCCTTCCTCCTCCTACTCCTTCTCTTCCTCTTCCTCCTTCTCCTCCTCCTCCTCCTCCTCCTCCTCATCATCATCATCATCATCATCATCATCATCATCATCATCATCATCATCATCATCCTATTCATCCTCCTTCTCCCCACTCCCTCATCCACCATCCAGCCTCCTCGTTCTCCTCCTCCCTCGCACGGTTCGGCCGTGCCCCTCTTTGCTCTTGCACTTCCCTGATCACCTCAACTCGCTGGGACATCATTTCTGCATGGGGCCGGTGGGGATACGTGAAGCGTCTAGGATTCATGATATATTATCTTAGCTCTTACGTATTGTTTCTCTACTGCGCGGTCTCATAGCAAGCAGTAGTGGCGCTCAATCGGGCCAAACCCACTCACACCACTGAAACTTCATTCGTTGATTTCCGGTTGAAACATGAATTGATGTCGGGCAATTGTGTTTTACCTTGAGGGGAGGTGCATCTTGTACGTTCCGCTGCTCGACTGGCCAGCTGGAGATGGCCGTTCCTCCACCACCAGTGTTCCAACGCATGCTGGAGGACAGTGCTGCTGATGATGATGATGATGATGATGATGATGATGATGATGATGATGATGATGATGATGATGATGATGATGATGATGATGATGATGATGATGATGATCGTCGAGGGCGTGAGGGAAGCCCTCGGCAAACACTCGGACCACTGGAGGCGGTGAGCCTCCCGTGGATCTGACAGCGATCCTGGAGAAACAAATCCAAGGCAAGTTACCTCAGTACGCTTATGCCCAAACTCAGGACTTACATACAAAAATTGCGGATGACGTCAACGCGCTCCTGCGATCCCGGGACAAGAGACAGGCTGACCATGGATATCGAGGTACCCAAAACAGGCACTATCCCTGACGGCTCTCGCCAATAGTCACCCCAGAAAGGCTACAGAGGGCAATGCGCGTTGCAAAGAGATCCGGAACGCAAACTCACATTGCACAGGCGCCCCTCAACTGATGACTGCAAGCGTCTCATCTACACAACGAGCATGATTTCTTTTTTATATATATATATCTTCCATATGTAAGTTGATGAGAAGGCGCAAACAAGAGTTTCCAATCTGGAAAATGGTACAGACTTGTTTGATTCGCGGGTCGAGAGCGCACCTCTTCCGGCCGAAGCTGAGCCCGGAAAACGGTACAGACGACGGCGCATTCGCCTCAAGTGTTCTTCTTTCTATATGTACGTGTATATATATATGTATATATATATATATATATATAGATGTTGATGGGGTGGCGCAAGAAACCAGCATTTCAAATCTAGAAGATGCTACAGAAGACGGCGCAGTCGCCTCAATGTGTTCTCTCTCGCCCTCTCTCTCTACATATAGAGAGAGAGATAAGTGGATGAGATGGCGCAAGAAACCAGCATCTCAAACCTGGAAGATGCTACAGAAGACGGCGCAGTCGCCTCAGAGCGCGTGTGCGTTTGTGTGTGTGTCCGTCGGCGACGAGCGCGCCAGGAGAGGCCGCGGGTTTTTGTTGGGGGGGGGGCTCCGCGGGCCGCCGGGGCCCGTGCATGAGAGGCCTTCCGAGGCGGCGGCCAGAGACAGAAAGGCCACCAACCTGCCGTCGCTCGGACGTCCCTCTCCCATGCATCTGTTTTGGTCTCGTGCGCTGTTTTTGTTTCTTTGCTCGATGGTCCAGGATGATCCTTCTGATGGTTCTCGCGGAGAAAAATATGCACACGTCCGAGCGATGCCAGGACCGACCCGTGCGCGGCGCTGCGGCGACGCACGAGGTCGCAGAGCAGGCCAAAGCGAGGACGCAGGGACGAGGAGATGCAGAGCCAGAGGCGGGGGGGCCGCGGTGAAGGCCGCGGCGGAGAGGGACCCCGAGAAGGAGCTCGAGCACTCCATCGACGGCACACGAGATCGCAGAGCAGGCCCAGCGAGGTCGCAGGGGCGAGGAGATGCAGAGCCAGAAGCGGGGGGCCGTGGTGAAGGCCGTGGCGGAGACGGATCCCGAGAAGAAGCTCGAGCACTGCATCGGCAACAGGATCCCGGTGAAGTTGGGCACGAACCGCATCAAACATAATGGTTGCGACGTGAAGTTTGGGGGGCCTAGCAGTCGGGAGAGAGCCTGGCACGTGCGTTCAGTCGTGAACGCTGGCTGCCAACGCGAAAGGCCAAGGCAACCCCAAAAACAACTCCAACAAGCAGGCCAGCTCAGCTTCAGAGATCCGAAGCCAAGGGCGATGCGAAGGCAAAGCAAGCAGCAAGGGCAAGGCGAAGGGCATAGAGAGCGGCAAACCAACAGGCAAAGGCAAAGCCAAGAGCAAGTGCAAGGCTGGAGAGGGAAAACATGGCGAATACGGCGGGAAACGGTGGGAAAGGATGGCGGACAAATGGAAAAGGGAAAGGAAGCAAGTGAACGACGGTCACTTTGTTGAGGCCGTTGCGAACATACGGTTTATGCGCATTGTCAACCAAATGTCGGCCATTGATGTTCTCTTCCTTCTCGGTGAGCCGAGTCTGTTGTCCAATGCGTACATTATGGATGGCGTAAGCCGTTCTGTCGGTGTAGCATCGTACGACCAGGTCCCATGGTATGTGCTGTGGGCACTCTCGCAAGCAGATTGCTCGCGAGAGGAAACCAACACACATCCATCGCGACCAAAAAGCTTGAAAGCTTCATCAACACGAGGTGTACCGCACTCGCCGTGGAGACATCTGCGCGCGCCTCTCTCTCCTCTCCCCTCTCCCCTCTCCCCCTCTCCCCTCTCCCTCCCCCTCCCCCTCCCCCTCGTCTCCCCACCTCCTCCCTTCCCCCTCCCCTCTCCCCATCTCCCCTCTCCCTCCCCCTCCCCCTCCCCCTCGTCTCCCCATCTCCTCCCTCTCCCCTCCCCTCTCTCCCCTCTCTCCCCCTCCCTCCCCCTCCCCCTCCCCCTCCCCATCTCCTCCCTCTCCCCTCCCCTGCCCCCCCCCCTCTTTCTGCTGCACACCGCCTCCAGTCCAACCCGGGTGATGCTCGCCGTCTGACTCTCGGGTCAGCACTCTCGGGCCTCCGGTCACGCCCTACCTCCATCCGCCCCGCTCCACGGGTCGCCCTACGCCTCTTGCGCCATCCCTGCGTGCTCCGGTCTTGCCACCTCGGCGACCGTCAAGGGGTCGGCACGGGTGGCTTCCACCCCGCCTGCACAGCATATTCAGTCCAAGCCGGCGTGCTTTCCCGAGCGGGCAAGAATCGAGCGCGGCAGGGACGGGGCGGGGCGCACACCCCCCGCGCGAGGGGGCGCCATGCCAGCGCGCGCGGCGAGCGCGTTGCCATGCACCAGGCGGGAACGCGCATCCCGGTCCCAACATCAGGTCTTGCCGCCAGTGGTTCTCGTGTTATGCCTCGCTCGCCCTGGCGAACGAACCTGGTCCTCCCTCCATCCCTGATCCCTGATCCCTCACCATCCCCGATCCCTGACCGTCCGACCCATCCCAGCATCCCTGATCCCTGATCCCCTCTTCCCTCCCTCCTCCCACCGTCCCTGATCCCTCCCTCCAATTCATGCGTCCGTCCCTCCGTTCCCCCCTGCGCAGCCCCGTGTCTGGCAGCTGGTGCGCTCTGCAAATGGAAGCTGGCGAACTCTCCCCCCATCCCAAGAACGGCACACCGCCAGACGGTGAACCGCTCCTTCCATTTCTCTCCTCCATCCTCTCTCCTCCCTCCTCCTTCATACTCCTCGTCCTCGTCCTCGTCCTCGCCCTCCTCCTCCTTCTCCTCCTCCTCCTACTCCGCCTACTGGATGGCTCCTCGACCCAATGGAGGCCTCCCAGATGGCCTCCTGGATGGCCTCCCCCTCCTCGTCCTCCTTCTCCTCCTCCACTTCCTCCTCCTCCTCCTCCTCCTCCTCCTCCTCCTCTTCCTCCTCCTCCTCCTCCTCTTTGGACCTCCTGTGTTGCCCACTCTTGCTGCCCCCCCTCCCCCTTCGCCCTCCGCACCGCGGGCGCGACCACGGGCGCCGGGGTCGGCGGCGCGGTGGAGACGACCGCCTGGCGGGGGGGCGAGCTGGGCGCCGGATCGACACACCGCCTTGTGAACGAAGCCTCGTGGAGGCCTCCTAAGATGGCCTCCTCGTCCTCCTCCTCCTCCGCCTCCTTCCTCCTCCTCCCCTCCTTCCTGCTCCTCCCCCTCCTCCTCCTCCTCCTCCTCCTCCTCCTCCTCCTCCCTCCTCCTCCTCCTCCCTCCTCCTCCCCCCCCCCCCCCCCCTATTCCTCTTCTCCTCCTCCTCCTCCTCCTCTCCTCCTCCGCCTCCTCCTCCTCCTGTTCCTCCCTCCTCCTCCTCCTCCTCCTCCTCTCCTCTCCTCCTCCTCCTCCTCCTCCTCCTCCTCCTCCTCCTCCTCCTCCTGCTGCACCGCCGCAGGAAGATGCGTTCCGTCACGGGCTCGAGCTCGGCCACGCCGTTGAGCGTGAAGGCCGAATTGATGTTTATTCTCTGTGCAGTGCTCATCTCATCCTGCCAGATGGTCACGGTCGTGGGCTTAGCCTCCGATGCCACGGGCGCAGTGCCCACGCACCAAGCCAATACCAAATCGAATCAGGCCATGAAGGAAAGTATGCTTCGCAGGGTCTCAATCCCAGGACTGGGAGGCCTTTGGAACCCCTCAGGGCCTCTCAGTCCCCCGCCCCTGCAGCCTGCGCTGCCGCTGCCAGTGGCGCTGCGCCGTCCAGCCCTCTTGTGCTTTCGCGTGTGTCTGCTGCCGTCCGTTCGGATGAGGCTGCTAGCGTGGGGGTGGAAGCTGGGTCGGACCTGGGGGAAGAGTCGGGGTCGGACTGAGGTGTTGCTCTCCATGTCCTGCTGGTCCAATCACACGCGTCCTTTCGTGTCCCTTGGCATCCGAGAGCAAGGCGGGCATTACCTTTTCGGTGACCTCCAACTGACGTTTCGTCAATTTCGGCAGCTGTCGGTGGTCGTTGGTGGCGTCTTCGGGGGCCTGGTGGCGTCTTCTTGAGTGGGCCCGCTTCGTTCTCGGTGTCATGATGTCGTACTTGTACTGCTGCTGATGCTGGGCGTCATTGTGCTGCTGTCGATCCTCGTCGTGGTGGGAGGTGTGGTGGTGCTGGTTGTGCTGGTGCTGGTGCCGTGGCTGCTGTTGTCCATGCCCTCCATGTTGTCGGCGGTACGAGGATCCAGATGCTGGTGTGCTTGACCTCCATGGCCACGGCTTGGCCCCCACAGGGTGGCCGAGGGATTTCGTACTGGTCGCCATCTCGCTGGTCTCGAAGTTGTTCGTGTTGGTCTTGCAATTCGTGTTGTTGCGCTGCCAGCTCTGCCATGGCGCCTTCGTCGTCATCTCCTCGTCTATGTGCTGCTCGACGTTGTGCTGCTTGTTGCGCTGGGGCTGCTGCGCCGAGTGGTGCTCCTCCAGGATCCTCTTGGCCGCTGCGAGCCTGAGGAGGACCCTCGCGTCCCCCCTCTTGTCCCGCAAGCGTCTGTGCCAGGCTGGCTCTGGCTCGGACCTCCAGCCCCTCGGCGTTCTGCCTGGGGGGCGCCGCTGCCGCGGCCGCGGCGGCGGCGGGATGGCCGCGCGCGCGGCGCGCCTCAGCCCTGCCTCGCGGGCTGGCCGAGAGATCGGCTCCTTGCCACCGCGATCGAGCGGGCGGCGGGCGCCGATCGACCCCGATTGATCGATCGGGATCGGCTGGCCCGCTGAAGGCCAAATGGCTTTCCTCCCCCTCCTCCTCCTCCTCCTCCTCCCTCCTCCTCCTCCTCGGACCTCTCTGATGGTCCATCCTGGCCCGTTCTTCGAGGCGGCTCCAGCCCGTGGCGACGAACAGCCCCCAGGAGAGGCCCCCAACAAAAACAAAAGTGGCCAGTCAGCGCCGCCGTCATCTCGACGCGTCCTCCCTCCGATCTGAGCAACCCGTTCGGCCCGTCGGAGCCGCCAGTCGCCCGCCGAACGCAGCCGAAAGCGCTCGGATCGAGCCCGCTCGGCGCGACCGAACGGGCCCGGCGCCCACCGCCTTGTGGGGATCGAGCCCGTCCAGCTGCCCACCCGGCGGGCGAGTGGCAGCTCCGACGCCGCAGCTCGGAAGGGAGCCAACGACGGCCACGATCACGACGAGGGCGACCATGACAGCGACGACCACGACCACGACCACGACCATAATGACGATGACGACCACGGCGACGACCCTGGACCCAGACGACGGCCTCCACGATTCGGCCACGCGCAGAGTGGGGTAGGTGGGGAAGGCTTCTTGGGAGGAGGCTGCTTCTTAGAAGGCGCGGGCCTTACCTATAGATGCAGGGCCGGCGCCTACTACGAAGCTGCCTCCTTCTGAGAAGCCTTTCCCCCTCCCCCCTTGCCCCCCTGTGCGCGCCGCCAAACCACGACCACGATGATGACCCCGACGTGGACGGCGACGAAGTCGACGACGACAGGGGCGGCAGCGCCCCCATGGCGCTCGGCTGCATCTGTTGGGAGGCCACGCGGAGCAAGATTACGACACCCACCCCGCAGCACAGCTGCCAGCATATTCCCATTACGTGTGACGCGAAGCTCGCCGCGGGGCCCCGGAGTGCCGAGCGCGGGGGGTCGCGGCGAATGTCTTGGACGAGTTGCCGACGCTTCGCGGAAGCCGCCTGCGCTGTAGTCCCGCATTTCTCGCGCTTCCGCACTGCCATGAAGGTCGCCGCCATTCACGATGATGCTCGTGCTCGTCAGCACGGGCGAAACTGGCCCACGCAAGTACGCGGCATTTCTAGTTCGTTTTTTTCCCGCGGGCCAGCGAGCGTGTAACAAACCTGGCAGAAAAACATGATGCACACCCACCCAAACGCATGTGTACACCCTTCAGAAAATGAACACAACGACCACACACATGGCACGCGTTTCAGGAAAGCGGTATACACCCACCTAGCTTGGGGCACCACATACTGGCGTATTCCTAGAGCAGAAAGCGCACGGTCGCTGCGTCACCACTCCAGTGTCTGCGACGAGAGCCGTGGGCTGGTTCAATCAGCAAGCAACGGCTTGATGAGGCGTGCTCTCATGCGGAAATTTGGGGGGTTCTGCGGTCCCGCGCGCGTGGCCTGCGCGGCCGTCCGCATCATACCGGGCGTTCCCGACGATGAAGATGCGACGTCGGAGTATCTTTCGGGGCCGCCCATTGGCCCTGCCAAGTACATGCATACATGAGCGCTGTAAGGCGGGTTGGGTGTCGATTTTCTGCTCCGATTGGCGCAGGTGCATCCGCGGTCGAAGGCCGCCATGCCCTGGCCTCGTCCGGCCTCCTTCGGCCTGACCAATCTTTCGAGTATGGGGACCGATTACATATTATTTAACCAGAATTCATTTTTCTGTCCAACGTTGCAAACAACACGCAGAATGGTCCCTAAATCAACTGAGCCCGTCACATATTTCTTGTGAATTCGACAGAAAAGAAATTGTAGGGTGAATCAGTCATGTAGTCGATCCCCTACTCGAATCCGGCTGACTCCCGCCTCGTATTTGACCAAAATGAGAAGTCTTGCTGCCTTTGAGGGTTTTGTTTCTTTTAATTTCCCCGCTCGTTCGCCGCCGACGTTTGTCGGTAGCGTGCCTGTTAAATAGACACTACCGGTTCTATCACTGCTCCCACCTCCTCTGCATGCTCCCCCTGTGTCTGCTGGCGGTCGGTCCTACGTGCCGCACGCCCCCCTTGCATTGCAGGTTTTCCAGTAGTCGGTGGGCCAGTGGGCACGGTCCGTACCGAGGCATAAGATCGAGGTCGGTTCGAAGAGGGTGCCCACATGTTCTTCGTGTTTGTTGAATGTTGTTGTGCATCCTGGGGGATTGTACCCTCGAATGTTTTTCGGCTTGGCTCGGTGCCGATTGGTTGATTGTTTGGACAGCAGAGGCCGTTTGCAGCAGAATTGCTTGGGCAGCAGAAGCCACTTTGGGACGTCGTCGTTTTCAGGAAGTATCAAGCGGGAGCCCCTAGGAAAGCAGCATTAGTTGCTATGCTATGCCATGCCATGCTATGCTGCGCTATGCCGTGCTCTGCTATGCTAAGCTGCGCTATGCTACACTAAGATATGCTATGCTATGCTATGTCATGCTGCGCTGTGCTATGCTAAACTATACTATGCTATGCTAGACTATGCTAAGCTGCGCTATGCTGCGCTGTGCTATGCTATGCTGCGCTGTGCTATGCTGTGCTGCGCTATGCTATGCTATGTTGCGCTGTACTATGATATACTGGGCTATGCTATGATATGCGGTGCTGCGCGATGCTATGCTGAGCTGTGCTATGCTGTGCTCTGCTATGCTAAAACTCAGCGAAGCTAAGATGAAGGCAAGGTAAGTTAAGATAAACCTGAGCTAAGATGAAGCTAAGCCAAACTTAGCCGCAACTATGCTGTGCTATGCTGTGCTCTGCTATGCTTAAGCTCAGCGAAACTAAGATGAAGGTAAGCTAAGCTATTGTAAACCTGAGCTAAGATGAAGCAGAGCCAAGCTAAGACGAAATAAGCTAAGCTAAGATGATATAAGCCTCGCTAAGCTAAGGGGACGTAACTGGGGGAACCGCGGGGCGGATGCGGGGGGAACCGCCCAGGGCGATTAGCACTGCCCGGCCCTTTAAGCACACAGGGTAAGAATTCTTCTAGGCAGAGCCTCGGCTGGGAATAAAAGTACCCCCCCTCGACCCCCTGAATATGTATTTTCCCCGTTCGAATCGGATGTTATTCCCGTTTTCGCCACGAGGGCGCCGCGCGAGCGTCTCGAGGCACACGCTCGAGCCCCATATGTTTTCAAGCTCCAAGCGAGCGTTCGAGCACACGCGAGTGGCGTTCCAAGCTGCGGGGCACTACTCCCCCCTCTCGCAAAGTGATCCTCGAAGAGCATCAAGCAATCAAGCAGGCTCGATCCTCCATCGTCGGATCGAGGATCCGAGATCTTGAGTCCAAGCATCTTCGAGCACCTTGGATACTAGATCCGAGGATCGCCGCGCTTGGACTCGAAGATCTCGGGTTCGCGGTGCGAGGATCGAGCGTCGAGCCTCGGCGATCGTCGACCGCCCCCGTCGCCGTCGTCAGGCCCAGACCGCCATCATGGATGCTCGATCCTCGGATCGAGGATCCGAGATTTTTGTTCCGAACATCTTCGAGCGCCTTGGATCCGAGATCCGAGCATCGCCGCGCTTGGACTCGGAGATCTCGGGTTCGCGATCCCAGGATCGAAGATCGAGCCTCGGCGATCGTCGATATCCCTCGTCGCCGTCCTCGGGCCAAGACTGTCATCGAGCAGGCTCGATCCTCGGATCGAGGATTCGAGATCTTGGTCTTGAGCATTTGCGAGCACCTCGGATCTCAGATCCGTGGATCACCGACTCGAGGATCCTGGGCCTTCGATCCGAAAATCGAGGATCGAACCTCGACGCCGGTAGCTGTCGCACGCACGCGCGCGCGCAGGCGCGCACCCGCACAAACACAACGCATATACAAACACATACATACACGGGCACATACACGCACACACGCACACATTCACGCTGTCACGCACGCACGCGCGCACGCACGCGCGCACGCGCGCACACAAAAACGACACGCACACGCACACGCACAGACGCTCAAACGCACTTTCTCGCGCGCACACACACATGCGCGCACGCGCTCACACGCGCGCGCACGCGCGCACGCAACAACACCAACAACGACAACAACAACAAACACACAGCCACATAAGGTACAACAGCCATCACAACAACAGCACTACCAACCGCACAAGCAACAGCACTCCCAACAACAGCACCAGCAAACAAGCGCAACAGCAGGCTACAACAGCAATACTGCAAACAACGACAGCACCGACAACAGCTGCCACAACGGTCGGAGGATCGCGCCGCATCGCCAATGCATCGCCAACGCATCGGTGATGCATCGGCGACGTTGGCGATGTATCGGCGACGTCGGCGTGGAGAAAATCGGGCTCCACATCGAGCCGCATCGCCGACGCATCGGCGATGCAAGACGGCGAGATCCTCCGACCACATCTGCTCTGACCCCATGTGGGAGGCCCAGAGACTCGGCGACGTGCACAAAGGCAAGGCTGATGGGCCAGCAACGACGAGGCAGCAGACGCGGGTCTTTCTTCACGCGGTTTGCCGATCATCAGCGATGCATTGCACTGCGGTGGAGCTCTGCGCGCGCTGGCCGCCAGCGCGCGCACGCAACGATTCATGTCGCCGAAACGAGGGCGCTCACTCGCGATGGGGGCCTTGCGCGGGACGCTGGCTAAGGACAAGACGCTACTCGAGGACAGCCCAAGTTCGACCTCCTCGTTTTGACCTTCGCTCCATTGGTTCGGACCCTTCGCGGCACGAAAGCTCAGATGGCACGCCGACAGAGCAGACGAGCTTGTCGGGCCTCTGAGGTCTCGCGAGCTGGCCCTCCGAGGCCCCGAGCTCTCGCGAGAAGCTGAGAGCGCCCCCCCCATCAGAGCACCGAGTCTGCCGCGAGCTTTTTCGCGGACCTCGAGGCCAAGAGGCTCGAGGCTTAGAGAAAGCAGACAATTGCTTTCCCGCGCCTCCAAGACGCCCACCCGGGCCCCGAACTTACACATTATATATATACATATGTGTGTATGTATATATATATATATTTATATTTATATATAGATATTGCAAACCACCCCTGGAGGCGCGCGCTATGGACACCCCGCGTGCGAGATTGAAAACGACTCGGATGAATCCATTCTGACACATGAGCAACCTGAGGTTACGAATCCAAGAGTTGTCTGAAAAGCAGTCTTTGGGCCATCCTCCGGCCTCTTCCCCCGCTCTTCTTCTTCCTTTTTTCTAGTGCTGCTGCTGCTACTACTATCACTAGTACAGTCAACCCGCGTAGTAAGGATGAGCAACCTCCCCGCGCTCGCCAATGCACATTTGCCCCATTCGGCCCATCCCCGGCAAATTTCGCTGGCCACCCCCGGTGAAAAAGTGTCGACGTGGGCCTTCCATGGCCCGTTCCCTCCTCTCGCCGCGCATTCTTATTCTACGGGTCGCCCGCGCAACTACTAGCCCCCCCCCCCTCAGGAGCGAGTCGCGGCCGCGGGCGCGCGCCGAGAGTTTGCGAGCGCTGAGGGCCGGGCCCTCGCCCCGGGCGACTTCGGCCGAGGCGCGACGCGAGGCTTCGGCCAGAGCGGCAGACCCGCGGGAAAGCTGGCGGAGTACAAGGGGGCGCACGAGCCCCGAGCTGCGCCCGCGCTGCGACGAGGCCCGCCAGCGCAGCCCAAGCTCCAGATCTTCCTCGACTGGAGCAAGCACGATGACGAGCACGGCGCCAAGAAGTTCGCCCTGCTGCCCGGCGCCGCGAATGCCCTCTGTTTGTTTATCAATGGTTAGCTGCAAAAGTAATGCAACGGGGCCGCGAGACGGTCGCGGGGATGGCGATGGGCTTTTCTTTTTTTTTTTTTTTTTTTTTTTTTTTTTTTTTCTTTTTCATTTTTTTGTTTTTTTTTTTTTTTTTTTTTTTTTTTTTTTTTTTTTGTTTTTTTTTTTTTTTTTTTTTTTTTTTTTTTTCTTTTTTTTTTTATGTTTTTTTGTTTTTTTTTTTTTTTTTTTTTTTTTTTTTTTTTTTTTTTTTTTTATTTTTTCTTTTTTTTCTTTTTTGTATTTTTTTTGTCTTTTTTTTTTTGCTTTTTTTTTTTTTTTGTTTTTTTTTGTATTTTTTTTTTTTTTGTTTTTTTTTTTTTTTATATTTTTTTTTTTTTTGTTTATTTTTTTTTTTATCTTCGGGCGGCTCTCGAGAGGTTTGCCACGGGGAGGCTCGGCGCGAACGGCTTCCGAGCTCGCGGGTTTGTCCGCCCGAACCGCGGCGCGGGCGAGAGCGAGGCCGCCAGGCTGTCCCGCGACGCCCCCGGCATGGCCACCGCCACGCGTCCGCTCGAGGGCGCCGCGCGCCGCCTGGAGCGCAGGTTCAAGCGGGGGCGCGAGCGCGGCCGCGAGGTCAGGAAGGACCATCCTGACGCGGCTGCGCTACGAGCTGGCCTTCGAGCAGGACAAGCAGCTCCACCAGCAGAAGGTCGGCCACGAGAGCTACAGCGCCGAGGTCCACAAGAGGGTGATCAAGCGCCAAGAGACCTTCCATATCAACCGGACGTGCAAGGAGGACTTGCGCGCGAGAGGGCGCAAGGGCCAGCGCCTCTCCGACCAGATGCACCAGGCGCTCAGCAAGGAGAAGGCCAAGCTGACCTGTGCCACGCCCGATAGGTAGTAGTAGTAGTAGTAGTAGTAGTAGTAGTAGTAGGAGTAGGAGTAGTAGTGTAGGTAGGTAGGTAGGTAGGTAGGTAGGTAGGTAGGTAGGTAGGTAGGTAGGTAGGTAGGTATGTAGGTAGTAGTAGTAGTAGTAGTAGTAGTACTAGTAGTAGTAGTCGTAGTAGTCGTAATAGTCGTAGTAGTCGTAGTAGTCGTAGTAGTAGTAGTAGTAGTAGTAGTCGTAGTAGTCGTAGTAGTCGTAGTCGTAGTAGTAGTAGTAGTAGTAGTAGTAGTAGTAGTCGTCGTAGTCGTAGTCGTAGTCGTAGTCGTAGTCGTAGTCGTAGTAGTAGTAGTAGTAGTAGTAGTAGTAGTAGTAGTCGTAGTAGTCGTAGTAGTCGTAGTAGTAGTGGTAGTGGTAGTGGTAGTGGTAGTGGTAATGGTAGTAGTAGTGGTAGTAGTTATTAGCCGTAGTAGACCTATAGGTTCGTTTATCACCACTACCACTACAAGTATTATTATTTCTACGACTAGCTGCTACTACCACTAAGGTAGTAGGTTAAGGAGGTTCGAGCACCTGGTGGCGAGGACCATTAGTAATACTACCATTAGTAATACTACTGGTAGGGGCGAAAAGGGGGGAAGGGAGGTTCGAGCACCTCGACCAGTTACGAGGTTCGAGCACCTGGTAGGTTATTTCTACGACTACCATTAGTAATACTACTGGTTAACTTCCAGTAGGTTCGAGCACCTGGTGGCGAGGAGCGGCTCCGAGGACCTCGCCTTTCGTCGGGGGCCCCGGGGCGTGCCAGCGGGGGCCGACGCGAGGCGGTCGTCCGACGCGCCCGATGGCCCAAGCAGGGGGAGGAGCGAGGGCATCCACGAAGAGCGAGCTCCCGGAGGCGCCGAGAGACGCGTCGAGAATCCGCGCCGCAAGCGCCGCGGGGCAGGGCGGGGGGGGCAAGGCGGCTTTCGAGACGGGGGGAAGTCCTGGAGAGCACCCGGCCCAGAGGAGCAACAAAGCCTCGAGCGAACAAGACAGGCTCCCTCATCAGCATCTCCCAGTTAGGGACTGGTTCGACCCGACAAGGGGGCTCCAAGCCGCCGAGAAGCGCAGCACCCCTCTTTCTTGCGCAAGGCACGACAGTGGGCGATCCTTACGAGGATGGGTGGCGGCGCGACGCCACCGAGGACGGGGCGACAGCGAGACGGAGGTTTCCGCTCGGCGAGCTCTGGGCCGGGACGCAACGACTCTGTCGAGTTCCGAGGAAGACCTCGAGGGTTTGCCGCGTCCTCGACTTGGGAGGCACCTCCGAGGCCTGGGCGGACGAGCTCGTCGCCCGCTGGACCATCGAGTTCTCGAGCAGCGGACGCCCAGGGGACGAGGATCGCGGAGCTGGATCGAGACGAGCCCACGGATGGGAGTCCGAGGCGGGGCCGGGCGGCGAGCACGGGCCTCAAGGCCGCGACCGGAGGTC